CCCTTGTTACTAGTGTTTTTGGGAGGTTCTCCAGCTTCAAAAAGCTCTTCTGAAGTTGGGCTATTTGCCAGCAGCTTGATGGCAGTGTGGATGGATTGTGCCCATTTCTGTCCAGTGTTTCTTTTGAAACCACCAAGGAGATGTGCTGCACTGGAGTTTTCGACTCCATAACAGATGCTCTCCAGATCCAAGTGATTTTATGCATGGTTTTGAAATACAATATGTCAGTGTGTTTTGCCGAATCAACTCGCCCAAGGAAGAATGTGTGAAAGATTTCCAAAGATTCAGTGGCTTGAGCCAGGACACCTGGAGCCGTTCTTTTTAAATGTAAAACAAAAGAAAGAAGAAAGACACCGACTAAAAATGGCCTCCAGAGTAGAAAACACCCGCTTGTACAAATTCTCCAAAAAAGGCGGCTATTTTGGGTCTCACAAACGAGCGAAGTTCCTCAAATCCAAAGAATGCACGCAAAAAGAAGAGCCCGCACAACGATGTGGGGAAAACATATGCCCAATGTTGGAAAAAGGAGCAAGGACGCTACTAGTAGCTCCTGGCCTTACTACTAGTAACAAACGGTATCGCTACTAGTAACAAGGTCATCGCTATTAGTAGCAAATAGCTACGAACGGGGCTCCTGGCCTTACTAGGAGCAAGAATCTACTAGTAACAAGTGCCTCGCTACTAGGAGCAAGTGCCTTACTGGTAGAAACAATAAGCTATTAGAAACAAGTGCCTTACTAGTAGAAACAAGGACGCTAGTAGAATCTACTAGTAACAAGTGCCACGCTAGTAGTAACAAGTGCCTTACTAGTAGTAACAAGAAGCTACTAGGAGCGATCGGACGCTACTAGTAACAAAGGGCAACAAAAACACTTCGCAACAAGTCAGGACGGCGTCGTCGGCCCGGCCACAAAGGCGGCCTTTACTGCGAGGCGATTTGATACCATGCCTGATTTGCGCTCCCCAGGCTGGACGCGTTCGGGTTCTCTCCTTTAAAGCCCGGCCTTCCTTAATTAAGTGGGACTACCTACTTAATGAAGGGAGAGCAAACAAGATGTTCCTGTGAGGTGTAGTTAAAGCCCAAGACCCAAACTGGGAGCGTGTCTTGCCCGATTGGCTCAGGAAGCCATCCTTACATTGGAATGACGGTGAATTATGCAGTTCGAGGTCTTCCAGGCTATTTAGAACGTCAGAGACTAAGTCTTCGAGAAGGTTCACGGCCTTTTCATCCTTATTCTATTCGAGATAACAACATACCTATATATAGTAGGCCTGACTGTGAACAGGGAGAAGGGACACATCTTCTCGTGTGAGCATTTTGCAGAACTTAAGGTCATCGCTCTGAGTGTTTGGCCGAGATTGATGAGGCCATGAAACAGTGGGCGGACGCTGCAGGCACGCTGGAACCGCAACGAACAGCCACACATGATACGAAGATATGGGTGAAGCTGCACACCGAAGCAGTCTAGCACACTCGTTTTGTCCGCTGCTAGGCCTCAAGTACAAACGGCTCCCTGTCAGCAGTGTCAGTGCAAATGCCACTTGTTGTGACAAGTGTTTACCTTCTCATTAACGCCGTAGGCAGTAGCATGGCATGCGCCTCATTGCAGATTCAAGACCTTTGAGAAAGGTTCCTGGAGGTTCTTGTAAGCAGCAGGAGTAGCGGCATTAAGGAACCATGGTTGTAGTAGTAGTAGTAGTAGTGGATTTTTCTGTGCTAAGAGTAATACAGTCAGTACAAATCGTAGAAGTACTCGTGGAAGTGGCAGTACTAGTAACGTTAGAATAGTGGATTGGTGGTAGTTGCAGTCATCATATGAGTACCTGTAGTTGCGGCCATCGTTGTTGCAGTAGCTTCAGTATTGGTAGGCTTAGCAGTAACAGCAGGAATGGGAGGGGGAGGAGCAGTAGCACGAGCAGGAGCAGTCTTCGTCGTAGTGGTGCTTATGGTAGCAGTGAAGGCAGTAAAATCAGTAGTGGCGGATCTTGCGAAGAATTCTTCGGACAAAGCTAAAGAATGAACGATAAAAACGATGAAGAAAGACACCAAAAAAGGAAAATAATACAAACATAACACAAAAGGAAAAGAATACAAAAGAAGTAAACACATGTTTTGTTTATTTTTTTTTGTTTAAAAAAAAGTTCAGCAAATGAATCAAGCCGAAGCAGAGAGTCAGTGTCCAAGGCCCAGTAGCAACCTGAAATTAAGAAACACATGTCAAAGAACAAATTGACGATTTCTTAACAAGGAGCTACTAGTAGCAAGAAGCTACCAGGTGGAGGCCATCGCTAGTAGGTTGGAGGCCATTACTACTAGTAACAAGAAGCTACTAGTAACAAGGGCATCGCTAGTAGTACCAAGGGCATTACTACTAGTAGCGAGAAGCTACTAGTAGCGATGCCCTTTCGTACTAGTAGCATTCTTGTTCCTAGTAGCGATGCCCTTTGCGCCCGCGCGCGCGCGCACGTGCGCGAAAATCCCACCGTAGTAGCCTCCTTTGCTACTAATTTTGGTTTCATTTATTTATTGTTTCTACTATCTTCTTGTTCCTAGTAGTACGGCCAGGCGCCCCTAGTAGCGTCCTTTGCTCCTAGTAGCATTCCTTGTGAGGACCAGCGAGATTCATGCGCGGCTCCACATCTCCTTCGCCCCTTTGAAGGATGACGGGCCTGGAGGCCGCCTGGCGGAGGCACCACATCGCTTTCGAACGCGCACATGGTCAAACGTGTTGTTTCAGAAACGGTAAGAGCCAAGAGCTTAAAGCCCAAGAGCGTAAGGGCCAAGAGAAACGATAGGACGCCCTTAAGCCTTTGGCAAGAACTGAAGAATCTAAGACGGTCGACACTTCCCGCAGGCCTCCACTTGGAGTGTGGTGTCGCTTGGCAGAGCTCTTGCTGCACGCCGCTTCGCGTTCTTCACCCCGCTTTGAGGTTGGATTCCACTGAGCGGTGGCTGTTGAAGAGCCAGAAACCCGAAGGACCTCGAAACAGCTTCTATCTCTATCCAGTGGTGCTGCACGAGATCGGACATTGCCTCTCATCTATAAGGAAAGCTTCAAGATGCTTTGGATTCTTTGTAAAAAGACACAGAGATCATCAAAGGAAGGCCAGGCTCTCTTTTAAAGAGGGATTCTACAGCTATTCCCCTTTTTTAAAGACATTTAAAGACTAATCTTTGTTGATTCAAAATCTCTTCGGGGGCAAGCGCAAACCCGAAGAGGAGACGGATCGGCAAGCCACTTTCAGGTCTTGGAGTGCAACACAGCTCCAATCGTGCTGATGTGATGTGGCCCTACTACAGGCCAGACTGCCGACGCCTTTTCTGGAAGGAAAACGAAAGGCCTCCAACCCAAGAGCGATGGCCTCCAGGGAAGGAAAACTTGCCTTCCCTTCCTTCCCCTTGCCTTCTTCTTTCCCTTCTTCTTTCCTTTCTTTCTTGACTCGAGACCTTTAGACCTTTTCCGTTTTCCTTTGCGGCTCACAGCCTTCACAGCTCAGTCACACTGGCCAACTTGCCATTCCTCGTAAGGAAAAGGGAAAGGTCGTAGTGGAAGGAAAACGACTCTATTCCCGCTTTCTGGCAGGGAGGATCAGGTTGATGCGAAGCTTTCGGAAGCTGACAAAGCAGCGGTCAGAGGCAAATTGCGCAAGGTGCCGCCAGCATTTAGCATTTGTTGACCTTCGATCCTCTTGTGTTCGATCCTTTCAGTTCTTCTGCTCTTAATCCTTTTAGTTTTGCATTAAAATAGATTCAACATTCACTCAAAAGACAGTCAGAGACTACGAGGAGATACCAAGGTAGCAATTGACAGGAATCTCCTTTGACGCAGCCGAGGACTGCACCTGCACAGTCAGCTCCTGTGTGGTGACTTGACAGTGCCGCCTTGAAGGTAAAGGCCGCGACATATTTTTTGGCTTCATCCAACATGGGTGGAAGCTGTCTAGGCCGATCAGGGAGGCATCGATCTAAATCCCGATGGAAAGCAAAAATGATTCCGAGAACTCGAGTGAGACACTGAGACCTTGCCAGAAGCGATGGCCTCCAACCTACCAAGCAACGGCCTCCAACCTACTAGCGAGTTATAATCTCAAGCCCTTGAAAGCTTCAAAGTCAACCGGTTTTGCTGCGGCTTGTTGCTGGAGTGCGTGGGTGTGTTTGTGTGGAATGTGCACTCGCTGGCTGCTCACGTGTGAAATACTAGGGCTTGCAGGATTTGGAGGCTCAAGCACGGTGCAAGTTGCGTAGTTCTCACAGGTCCTGAGAAGATGCCGATTGAGAAGATTCATGCCCGTCAGATCTTCGACAGCCGTGGCAATCCCACCGTAGAGGTGTGCTCATGAACTGGGCTCCAAACGCACAAACCGTGCACGGCGTGGTTGTAGGTTTTCTTGTTTTTTGATCTTGCACCTTTGCCCTCTAATATGGTTTGCTATTATGTTGGAGGCCATCGCTATGAGGTTGGAGGCCATCTCTACTAGGTTGGGAGGCCATTGCTACTTAGGTTGGAGGCCATCGCTATTGGGCCATTGCTATTCCATTGCTATTAGGCTGGAGGCCATCGATATTAGGTTGGAGGCCATCGCTATTAGAAACAAAGAAAAAAGAAGCTTCTCGCTTCTCAGGTTGAGGTGACCACGGAGAAGGGTATCTTCCGGGCCGCGGTACCTAGTGGTGCAAGCACCGGTGAGAACGAAGCTTGTGAGCTTCGGGATGGGGGCTCTGACTACATGGGAAAAGGCCAGACCTGTACGGACACCTTGCACTCATTGTTCTGGACGCCTTTCTCTTCTCATTGTTCCTAGTAGCGATGCCAGGAGCGCCCCTAGTAGCGTCCTTGCTCCTAGTAGCGATGCCCTTTGTTCCTAGTAGCGAACCTTGTTACTACTAGTAAGGCACTTGTTACTAGAAGCGATGCACTTGTTCCTACTAGCTCTCTTTGCTCCTAGTAGCGTGGCACCTGTTACTAGTAGCGTGGCACTTGTTCCTAGTAGCATTCTATATGCATTTTTTTTCTATTTTGCAAGGTGTAAAGAAGGCAGTGAGCAATGTCACCTCGAAGATCGGCCCAGCGCTGGTCGGCAAGGAGAGGGTTTTAAGTGTCTCAGTTCTCAGTGCTCTTAAGATTTTCTAGCTTTTTGTTACTAGTACGGCACCTGTTACTACTAGCGTAGCACTTGTTACTACTAGCTCTTGTTTCTTTTTAAGATTTTAAGTTCCCTTGTTTCTTTTGCAATTAGGGGTTGAGGCCAAAGCTACTATGATTTCACTCCTTCTTCTTGCTTCCAAAATCTTCAATTCGTTACATAGTTTGACTCTGCAGGATCCCGCAGATCAGCAGACCATCGACAAGGTGATGCTCGATCTTGATGGCACCGAGAACAAGACCAACTTGGGTGCCAACGCGATCTTAGGTGCGGAGGTGAACACGAATTGGATGCTTGCAAGCCACGCAGACGGCGCCGCTTGCAGACGTCGAAACTTGTTGGACGTTTCACGCTCTTGTTGGACGTTCTACGGCAGGTGTTTCGATGGCATGCTGCAGAGCTGGAGCTGCACAGAAAGGCATTTCTTTGTACAGGCGGCACATGGCGGTGAATTACGGCACTTCTTCAAATGGCGACACTGTTCAAGTGTTCATGTGGGGTTTCTTAAGACGTAAGAGGCGTAAGTGTGATTCTCAGTAGACACTTGTAGCGAAGCTCTTTCGAGGCACATCAATGAGCTTGCTGGCAAGCCTCCTATGTGCATGCCAGTGCCTTGCTTCAACGTCATCAACGGTGGCGTTCATGCCGGGAACTACTTGGCTTTTCAGGCACAAACCCTTTTGCTTGGTGTGATGTCCAAATTATTTTTCTTCCATCGCTATTAGGTTGGAGGCCATCGCTATTGGGTTGGAGGCCATCTAGCAGGTTGGAGACCACTGCTATTAGGCTGAAGGCCATCGCTAGCAGGTTGGAGACCACTGCTATTAGGCTGAAGGCCATCGCTAGTAGGTTGGAGGCCATCTCTAGCAGGTTGGAGGCTTTTCAGGTGTGATGTCCAAATTCTTTTTCTTCCACGTCTTGTGTGGCAGGAGTTCTTCCTGATCCCACTGGGAGCGACAACTTTTGCGGAGGCAATGAAGCTTGGCTCGGAGACATACCACAACCTCAAGAGCATCATTAAGAAGAAGTATGGCACCTCGGATCAAGAAAGCCGCACATGCGGGGAAGGAAGGAAGGAAGGAAGGAAGGAAGGAAGGAAGGAAGGAGCACGTGAGACATTTTCCGCAAAGCGACATTTCAGGCTTGGACTCCACAGCAGTGGGTGATGAGGGCGGCTTTGCACCTGCTGTCAACGATGCAGAAGAGGCAGAGCAGCAAACGAGGGAGCAATGGAATAAGTCATGAAGAAGAGATAAACGCTGCAAAATCGGTTTCGCTTGTATATTCTTTCTGGAAACAGGGCCTGAAGCTGCTCTTGGAAGCCATTGATCAAGCAGGGCACACAGGGAAGATCTTGATCGGCTCTGATCCAGCATCTTCAGAGTTCTGGAAGGGGGAGGAGCAAAAGTATGCCTGGTACTCAGAGTACCTACCTGTTGCTCGCCTTGCTTTCTTCTAGTTCGTTCTTAGTTTTGGAACATGTATAATTTAGAGCACCAAATATACACAAGACTTCAATTTCACCGACAAGAATAGTCACGCACCTTGCTAGTAGGTTGGAGGCCATCCCTATTAGGTTGGAGGCCATCGCTATTAGGTTGGAGGCCATCGCTATTAGAAGTAAAAGGAAGTCGTCAGTGACTAAAGCCGCACAGCTGTTTCTTTGAGGATCTGGACTTCAAGTGCAAAGCGCCCAGGCCGGAGCAGAAGAAGTCCCGAGAGGAGATGGTGTCTTGCTGCAAAGAGAAGTAAATTGATACAGGCATAAGCAAAATCCAGGCGTTGGAGATTGAAGTTGGTTGTGTTTTCCATCAACATGGTGGAATGTGGTGTTGGACTCCAAGCTGTCTTTAGGCAACTCACCACTAAATTCTCACTGATCGCTTCGCATGTGCAAGATGATTTGAGGTCGCCCTCTACAAGCACTTTTGTGACACTTATCCCATTGCCCTTTTGGAGGAGGGGCTGAGCTGTCCAGCGTTGGTGTACGTACGCAATGATGCAGCAGTCCTCTCCAGGACCCCTTTGCAGAAGAGGACTTTGAAGGTCATGCGCAACTTACGGCGATTGTGGGTGACAAGGCCTTTCTTTACACGATGTGTCATGAGTCATGATGATCATGGATGGGAAAGAAAAAATAAGGACAAAAGGAAAGAATGAACGGACACAGAGACAATTACAATTAAAGAAACTACAGAACAAATACAGGAAGCACAAGAAATAAAGAGGGGGCATAAAGGTCTCAAACAAATCAAAAATAGACATGAAAAGAGAAGATAACAAAACGCAAAGAAAGACGTGGAGCTTATTGTTACTACTAGTAAGGCACTTGTTACTAGTAGCGATGCACTTGTTTCTAATAGTTTTTTGTTACTACTAGTAAGGCACTTGTTACTAGTAGCGATGCACTTGTTTCTAATAGTTTCTTGTTACTACTAGTAAGGCACCTGTTACTACTAGCTTCTTGTTACTACTAGCGTGGCACCTGTTACTACTAGCTTCTTGTTACTAGTAGTGAGGCCATCACTATTGGGTTTACCGGGAACTTCCGACTGGTTGAGGTGGAAATCGTGGGGGACGACCTTTACTGCACAAACACCAAGCGAGTGCAGATGGGCCGCCTTCACGCGTTTTAGTCAATATGGTTTCCACTCTTTGGTTTCTTTTCTCTGTTTTTTTTTTTTTTAATCTTTCCTTCTTTTCCTGTAAGATGAGTAAGCTTGTTGGCCCGGCTCACGCCAGGCTTGGACAAGAAGGCCACCAATGCAATGCTCCTAAAGGCAGAACGGACACCGTGCGAGAAATTTGTCAGACGAGCACAGCATCCAGAGCTTCACGCAAACAAAGAACAAGCCTGAAAAACACTAAGCTAGTAGGTTGGAGGCATCGGGAGGCCATTGCTTCTAGGTTTGAGGCCATCGCTACTAGGTTGAAGACAGGACTGAATTACACCAAGCCACAAAGCATGCGCAGGTGAATCAAATTGGAAGCGTCACAGAGTCCATTGCGGCCTGGAAGTTATGCAAAGACAACAAGCCTGGAAGCCCAAAGCTGGGGATAGAAGCGTTCTTAAAGGAATAATTTGTTTGATCTTCCAGGCAGCCATCGCTAGTAGGTTGGCCAATAAACAAACCGTGGCCGTGCCTGAGGTGGGGTGTCTTCGTTTCTCACCGATCAGGTGAAACCGAGGAAGCGTCGGCTCTACATGAAAGACCTTTGGAATTCGGCTGTTTACAAAATGTTACTACTAGCGTGGCACCTGTTACTACTAGCTTCTTGTTACTACTAGTAAGGCACCTGTTACTACTAGCGTGGCACTTGTTACTAAGAGTAGAAAAGGCATTAGAAAGAAAGGAAGGAACAGCCACATGCCCAAAGGTGCCTCCAAACTAGTAGCGATGGCCTCCAACCTACTAGCGAGAAAGAAAGAGAAAAGAAACAAAGAAACACAATGCAAAATTTGGAGTGCCAAAACTGAGATCAAGACTGGAGGATACTTTCATTGCTGACCTGACCGTCGGTTTGGGAACTGGCCACCTGAAGACTGGCGCGCCATGCAGGACGTCAACTGCGTTCCACGCATGACAAACAAAGGACATACGCAATACGCAAAGAAAAAGAAAGGAAACAGTCTGATGGTCTAGAACAAATGGAAAGGACAAAAGGATGGAACAAGTAGTCAGACATTCCCCTTGGTCTTTTCCAGAAGCTTCCACCTTGTCTTTCGTTCTTCGTTTTGCTTCGCCCAACCTTGTCACGGAGGAGCGAGCGTCTGTCGAAATACAACCAGCTCTTACGGATCGAGGAGGACAGCGGATTTTGCACCTGTTACTACTAGCGTGGCACCTGTTACTACTAGCTTCTTGTTACTACTAGTAAGGCACCTGTTACTACTAGCGTGGCACCTGTTACTACTAGCTTCTTGTTACTACTAGTAAGGCACCTGTTACTACTAGCGTGGCACCTGTTACTACTAGCTTCTTGTTACTACTAGTAAGGCACCTGTTACTACTAGCGTGGCACCTGTTACTACTAGCTTCTTGTTACTACTAGTAAGGCACCTGTTACTACTAGCGCGGCACCTGTTACTACTAGCTTCTTGTTACTACTAGTAAGGCACTTGTTACTACTAGCGTGTCACCTGTTACTACTAGTAAGGCACCTGTTACTACTAGCTTCTTGTTACTACTAGTAAGGCACCTGTTACTACTAGCGTGGCACCTGTTACTACTAGCTTCTTGTTACTACTAGTAAGGCACTTGTTACTACTAGCGTGGCACCTGTTACTACTAGTAAGGCACCTGTTACTACTAGCTTCTTGTTACTACTAGTAAGGCACCTGTTACTACTAGCGTGGCACCTGTTACTACTAGCTTCCAGGTCTTGCGGATCGGGAGTTTCCTTCAAACCGGTGAAAAAACGAACCTAGTAGCGCTGGGCACTGTCGGAGGAGTCTGGACTCAAGTTTTGTGGGAAGCACTTCCGACAGCCCTGGACCTTGGAGAGCTCTGGTGGCTACTAAGCCAGAGGACCCGATTTCCAGATTGTCCTTCCCTATTTTAAGCGTATGAGACATTTGGTCGGACTTGTTTCATGTCTTTTGTTCTACCGACTGGATGGATGTGGCGAGATAAAGCCGTTTCACCAATCCAATTCGGTTGAGCTTGACCGATTGATTTCGAGGAAGTTTGTCGAAATGATAGCGCTGATAGTATAGCGCTTGTTCCGCTTCAGGCTGGAGGCCATTGCTAGTAGGGAGGCCATGGTGCTCTAGCTTCATCGAGAAACTCGTTCTCTCACCACACTGGCTCAAGATACAGCTGAGATGAGCTCCTTTTTGTTTCTGCTCGTAGAACACATGCTTTTGTCAGGCGCACGTGTACATTCCAAGGAGCAATGAGGTCCATGACACAGACACAAGGCGTTGGAATGAATCAGTCTAGTTAGTAGTCCTCTCCACTCAAGAAAGCCTCTCCCCAACAATACAGAAGCATCCATTGAAAGACCCAGTTTCACTTTGTATGTTCCCAACTCTGTCTTTTTTCTTTAAACCTTTTTCTTTTAATGGCCTTGTAGCAAGGGTAATTGAGTCGGAGACAAACAAAGCTGCCATACGCACTGTGGCGATGGCGTGGGGATACTCAGCAGTTGACGACGTTGCACATTTTAAAGGCATGACACACAAATAATATATCTTCCATTCTTTTCTCTGGACCTTCAGGTTTTTCTGATGTCTTTTTGTTGTTCTTCCTTTTTGTTCATTACGCAAAGCAATGCGTGTAGTTGCTCTTTGGCGAAGGTTGAAGTCTGGGTCGGATTCGATGAGATTAATGGAGTTCTCTTTCTACAAACGCTGGGAGCAGGCAGGAAAAGTTTTTTTCAACACAAACCTTGCCATTCACATCGACTCATCGACCTGTGAAGTGAGGTGGCTGTCCGACCAGAACTCGATGTCGGCATCCCAGTCTTATCGGCTTTGCAGTGGTGAAATCTGGGACGGAAGGCGTTGCAGCTTTTGATTGAAAGATCGTGTATTAGAGGGGTAGTTAAGGCAGAAAAGGTCTAAAGAAAAGAAAGAATCACAGAACATTCTAAAGGTCAAAAGAAGGGTATAGAAGTCTAAAGACACAAGAAACAAATAACAAAAGGAAATAACTTATGCCTTTACAGGTTAGTTAAGTAAGGGGGCGGGAACTCTGAATTTGTTGCCAGGAATTGCTGAATCCTCCTCCCCTCAAGGGGCATGAGAAAAGCTTCAGCCGGATCGCAGCTTCACAGAGGCACTTTTGTCGTCCTTGTATGCTGGTGTTTCAGTAGATTTTTTTCAAGCAAATCGAGCAAAGACCAAGCAAGCAAAGAGGCTGTACTACTTGGACAACATCAAGCTGCCAAGCCAGCTCCCAACAGTCACCAGCTCAGCTGTGCAACTTAAAGCGAGATCAACTTTGTGCTTGGAATTGGAGAATTTCAGGGCGGAATTTCAACGTTCGAAGAGGGTTATCAAGGCTACCCGAGGCTGCAAGTAACGCCATACAGGTCAAGACTGTATCTTACTAGAGTTGTGTGTAGCAAGTCCCAACTGTGCCTTTTTCCCAGCAGGAATGGCTTTCCATGCTTTCCCAATAGAAGCGGGAGAAATACAAGTAGTTGAGACCGCCAGGTGTTACCCTACTCCACCACAAGCTGATGTTTCCGATGCCCCGAATGTATATCGACTTGCATCGGACATGCACCCTATATCGACCCAATCCGGTCGACCCAATGTCTCAGCTCCGACAAATTATTGACACAATACCAAAGGATGGAGGCCATCGCTACTAGGAACAAGAAGCTATTAGGGGCTCCTGGCCTTACTACTAGGAGCAAGGACGCTACTAGGGGCTCCTGGCCTTACTACTA